ACTCAAGGTGTGCCCTCTCAGGGCCCCTGGGTGTGAGCACTGGGCAGGCGTGTCAGCACCTCCCCTGGCCTGCATCCTGACGGACAAACACACATCCTGCAGGTCACCACCGACGTGGCCACGAACCGACTCTCACGTGTGTGCATAGCCGTTGGGGTGTTCATCCGCAGGGGGCCTGGGGAGCCTGCACCTGGGGGCGACCTTGGCACTCCTCTCTGCTCAGATGGGAACGGATTCTGAGCATCGGGTACAGGTGGCTGCCCACCGTGAGAGCACGCTCAGACTCTGGAGCTGTGACGTGAGGGTCCGAATGCCCGCCTCCCCCGCTGACCGTGACCTGAGGCCCTCAGAAACATGAAGGCAGGAGGGTGGGCTCTCCCCTTCCCCTTGCGCCGTCCGCAGAAACAGGTGGCAGATAGAGGGGCGTGGCAGGGTGCCCGGTGCCTCCTGAGTGCGGGAGCCCCCGCGCCCCTGCTTGCCGGCCAGGAGCTAGACCGGCGGAGGCAGCACAGGGCGAGGCTGACCGTGCGTTCTGGGGCAGAACAGGTTCATGCCCGTCATCCCGTGTCTCGTATCCAGCATGGACAAGGATGGGCCAGCAGAGTAGTTTTTGAAAAGGTGGAGAGGAAGACACACGCACAGAGAAGGCCCCGGAGAGGCAGCGCAAGCCGAGGGGCGCCAAGGCCGGCCACGCCAGCCCCGGGAGAGGCCTGGAGCCATTCTCCCCCAAATCACTCAGAAGGAGCCCACCCTGCCCACACCCCGATTCCAGGCTTGCGGCCAGCAGAGCTGATGTTTCACGCCTGCCATGTGGTGGTGCTCTGGTCTGGCAGCCCTGGGGCGCCGATGCGGATTTATGTATCTGATTGTCCACAGGACGCGTTTGTTACATAAAAGACGCGGCCTTGTAAATCAGTGGGGCCACGAATGCGATTCACGGAGTTGCTGGTAGAGAAAAGAGGACTGACACATTATCTGTGCATTTTACGTGCTCATAAAGATATAAATCCAAGCCTACGGAGGGTTCCTCTTGTTTTAATTATTTCATTCCGTTAAACAACAATGTGGCTAAAGCAAACAGAACCATTTTTTCACGAAACAAACAGAAAGGGTTCAGTGAGTTTGGTGGATAAACCATCCCGCCGGCGTGGAAAGCAGCCCGGGCTCCAGGCGGCATCGTGTGTGTGTGTGTGTGTGTGTGTGTGTATGTGTGTGTGCGCGCGCGCGCGTGTGTGTTAAGGTCTATGCGGCATGTGGGGGGGCGGTGGGTGAGGTCTGTGGCGTGCGGCCGGTTTCCAGGGAACAGAGCAGGAACCCTTTCCGAGAAACGCTCACAGGGCCGCCCACTTGGGGTGTGGAGCTCCTGGCTGCCCTGCCCCATCCCAGCTCCCGCCCTCAGGGCCAGGAGTCCACCCTTGGCCACCCCATCTGCCCCCGAGTCTGGTGACGTGCCAGCAGGAACCTCCCGTGGCCCCCCCTGTCGGCGTGGGGTAAATGGCGCCTGTGCCCCCAGGGACACACCAGTGCTCCTGGGATCGCCACAGGCCGGGAGTCGTGCTCTCAGTATTTGTCATCCCCTCGGCCCTCCGCCCCCCTGCAGGTGGGGGACCGAGGTGCAGGGAGGCTGAGTCACTTTCCCACAGTGGCACACGCAGGGCCAGGGTCCCTGAACGCCCACAGTGCCCACCACCCGACCCGTGGCTCCAGGGAGGTGAGAAGCCTGGGGAGGGGTGGCGGGTGGAGAGCGGCTCAGAACAGCCTCCCGTGGGTCACCCCTGGCCCTGCCCACACCTGTCCACAGGCCGGATTTCAGCACAAATGTCACCTGCACGGAGGGGCCGCCCCAGCCTTCGCCGGCACACGGTCGGGTTTTATGTCTTCACTCCCTGTTCACCGTCCGGTCGCGTCATGTGGTTTCCATCTGACGCCCCCTCTGGGGCAGCCGTGTCCTGAGGGCAGAGAGTGTTCTGTCTCCTCTCCTGCTGCAGCCACACAGAGCCCAGCTCTGGCGCCCTGCATCCTCAGGGAAGGAACACCCCTCACCCTGTGGTGCTGACGGAGGCACAGGAGCAAATCGGGCCCTGCCCTCAGGAATCTGGACGGAACGGGTGCACAGCGGTCCCAACAGCCACTGACATTTACGTGGCACCCACCCTATGCCAGGCACTTTTCACGTGGCTCCTAATGGAACCCTTGGTGAGAATGTGACCATCGGCCTGCTTTAAAAATGAGGAAATTGGAGGGCACCTGGGGGGCTCCGTCGGTGAAGCGTCCGACTTCGGCTCGGGTCGTG